AACCTCAGTTTTCATTTGCTATTCTAAGTAAATCAGTTTCCAAACATCACAGTAGCCTTTCTCCACAACACTTCCAGTTTGAATTGATCTTTCTTGAACACCAGTGAACAGAACTGCCTTCTTTCTTCTGATCATAAGATTGCTTCTATTATGGAAGTATCTTTATATCCTCAAGTTAGGTCATGTGGGATCAAAAGTCAAAATGCATTAGATCTACTGCATTTCTTTTGCCTAGAAAGTCTGTTATTACCGAAGAAAGGTGCCAAATAAGTCTAGCACAATCTACCCTTGGTCAAACCAGACTGCTTCTCATCCAGTTTTCCTTCGGTGTCTCCAAATATTCTTTCCTTTACATTATTTTCAAAGCCTTATATATTATTGGAGGTCATGCTACTGCTATAGGATTGCAAGAAACGCAGGGCAGATTAAATTAGCTGTACTAGGAAAAGAGGTCAGAAAATCATAATTGTCACACAGGTCAAAATATGGCCTATGAAGTCTGGTTCACTGACATTGATCACGTACCAAAAAAGAAAGAAATCAAGCTTCTGGCAATAGCATGCGTTAGTCCTCTGCAGCAGTTTAAAAAACAAACTCCACGTAATACCTAGCTGTACTTAGCTGTATTTATCAATCTCTATCACAAACGCTAGTTACATATTTGATGAGCAGTTTCATTGATCTAAACTCTACGGTAGTAAAGAGACCACAGATAAATAAAAAGCAACCCACATACAGGCCTCTTGGGACAAGGTTTAAAGCGAGTTAAATCTATTACACTGGCCAGCAAGGGACTCATTACTGAATTCACCGTTCTTTGTCTTTGGGAAGGCGAGAATCCCTTCTAGGAAGAAAAGCCCTTCAGCCCTCAGTGTCCCAGCAAGAGATTAGGGTCTTTTTATCATTCATCAGTCCCGTTTGACCCCCAGCGCAGGACAGATTACGGCGAGGCCCCTTGCTTCCCATCCTCGGGCAGCCTGTGATCTGGTTGGAGAGGGCAGAATTTTTAAGCACTTGCAATCCTGGTAGGAAGAGCTATGAAAAATGGGCAGGAGCCACCTCTGCCCTTAAAAGCTGGCTATCCCAGAATAATTATCCTGGGAGGAACTGGAATTTGGAGGATCCATCCAACTGAGGATGGGAAAGAGCGAGCCACAAAGGCCAGCTCCTCTCTTTGCCACCTCCTCCAGGTCTAGGGGTGAAAGCAGGGCAGCTCCTTCCTCCCAAAGTGCAGATACCTTTCCTAGGAACACAGTCCCCCTGCTCTGGGCTCTTGTCTGTGATGATTTGACATTGACATAATGCTTCCATATAATCTCTGAGCACAGGAACTTCAGCACAGACCCGTTAAGCCACCCTTGCCTACATAGCTGCTGTCCAAAATTGCCTCGTAACTTAGCAACTAACTTGCTACCTGCTATCACTCATAGGCCTTCCCTAACATTACCATTTTTGGAGCTTTTCCATTTCAATAGGTGTGCGTATTTCAAGTAATTTCCCCTTTGTTTGCAGTGCTTCAAGAAGCAACTTTGTGTGTGTGTGTGCATGTGTGCGCCTTCTTTTTGCTGTATGTCTAATCTCTCTATAGTAGTTCAATCTCATCAGCATCAGTACAGTTCATTCCGATTTAAACTTATCACCCTACTACCTATTCCATCTGTAACTTCAGTAACCATAATTTGCAAGGAACAATCTCATCCCCTGGTTGTTTGTAGTCAGAGCTCAAACATAGAACATTAGAGCGACAGAGATAAAAGATCTGAAAGAAACAATTCTTCCCAAATACAATTGCCCTAAAAGTTCTGATTTCCACAACAATCATCATGTAGTTTATACAAAACATTATATATTTGCAATAAAATATCTCTCTTTCCAGAGCAACAGAAAAGCACACAAAGTAAACATCCATTTTCTGGATTAACACACCACAACCAGCAGTCAAGGAATAGGCAGTTATATATACTGCGAATGCAGTTGTTAAATAACTATCTCTGTTGCTGGGTTTTGTCTAGGAGCAAAGAGGGACTGCATGCCTCAGCCTTTATTTATGGACTGAAATAACTGGCTTTGCTTACGTTTTCTTCCACTGTTGCTAGTCTTATCTATTCACGATCTTACATATTTGTACAGTTGATAGATTTTTAGCACCTTGCAGTTTTCCCCCTATATTTGTATCTGTTTATGTATGATCCTGTGGCTTGTTTTATTCAGAGATATTTTAGTATCTCGGGGTCTTGTGGTTTTGATGCAGATGTTGATGTACTAAGAGCGTACAGAAATATTTAAATTGCTACTTGAAAGCCAATTTGTATGAAAACTTAAACAAGCATCAGTCAGAAGACTGATCATGAAACTTTCATATAAACATGTCTTTGACTTCAAGAGGGAGCCTTTGGTCATATTTTAATGCATTAAATAATGTTGCATTAAATCCCTCATTAAGAACAAACTGAGAAAAAAAACAAACCAACGTTTCCCTCCTCCAAATCTCTCTGTAACCTTGGAGGGAGGGGGATAAGCTTGAAAACAATGCTGAAATTACAAATGGCAAATAAAAGATTCCAAAACGGATTTGTTTAATCACATTTTTAATATTTGGAGTTAGGAACTGCAAAACAAAATAAGCTAGGAGTGCATAAATAGAGAACCAGATCATTTATTACTATTAAGCAACAGCAGAAATACCTTTCATACATTGGCATGTATGAAAATGGAGGTGAGGCTTCTATTAAACATTTACTTTTCATGGCAAACATATTCTTGCTTTGTTAGGTGATGACTACCACAGTTTTCTGTATCAAACAGGATTAGCTTCCTTACGCATTCCCAACCCCCAGTTAACTGCACTTTATGAATCATCAAATTTATAACCTATTTGTCAGGTGTGGTCTGATACCTTAGGGCAAACCAAGACCCTGTTTCAAATAAGACAAGTTGACTACTTAACAGCTTGGTGGACAAGCTGTTAAACTTTTCTGAAGTCTTGGATGCATTTTTCCTCAATAGCAGAAGAGAGTAATAGCCTAGCATATTTTTTGAGAACTGTGATCACAGGTATCCCCAAAATAAAAGATTGAAGAAAAAAAAAAAAAGTAGCATGTTGCAATGTATAGGCTGAAACATGGTTAGAACTATTAAAAAAAATAAACTCAGAAGCTTCTGAGAAAAAAAAAAAGGCAAATTTTTAAACAGGGCTCCTTTTTAGAGGAAACAAAAATACTATGAGCTCTGCCAGAACTTTCCCAAGACCTTCTGGAAGCGTAAGTCTTATTTCGCAGTTTTCCCCCCAACTTCCATAGAACCTTAGCTGCTTCTTAAAAGCTTCTCAGAACCACTGTTTCAAGAACTTTTACATGGTTCTGCACGATAATACTCAGGACAAGATAACTACATCAAAGACGATACTGCATGAAAACAAAATATACAACCCACATATAGCATCCACACTAGGCATGCTCAGTCTCACTGGTACATCATCAGCAATTACTTTTTGTAGTATAGACTCATGCCACTAGCTTTATTCGGTCTTAAAAGCTCACTGAAAAGTTAAGTAGCTCAGCAACAAAGTGGTTTTTGCCTAGGCCTAGCTAACATCTAACCCAAAGGAGCTCTGCCACGTAGATTTGACTATAATTCATGAGGCATCGGAACTGACATTTTTGAAAACCTTATACGAAAGACTATCAAGATCTTCAGCCACTATCCAGATCTGGTTGGGCTAAGCAGTCTTTAAAAGGGCCTTCTGAAGTGGCCCCTCTGTTTATCTATTTCTTTCATCACCAGAAGAACATTAATACTTAGTACACAATTGCCACAAGAAAATAGATCCTGGGTAAACACACAAGAATGACTAGTAGCGACACAAGAATTATTTTGGACAAAACCACAATCAAAAGCAACATATAGACTTGCTTATTCATGGAGTTACGTGCAATGCTGACAGCCCAACATAACAGTCACAAAACTCTTAACAATGGAGAAGGCCCAAAACATGCTTGGAGATTAAAATATAAACTATGAGTTTTACCTTTCACTGCTAGAAACCCACCTGCCTCCCTCCCCACCCCCTGCCAAGATAATTCTTACTCACCCAATTGCTTCTAAAGTAAACTCCAAAGATCTGTATACAAGCTTGATTTGATCAAATTCAGTTGCCTGCTATAAGCATTGCGTCATGTTCATGTACCATACATCTCGATTTAAAGTTCTTGCAGAACACGTGACACTTACCCCTTAAAAAAAACCCTTGATCTCTCTACGTTTTCACTCAGGCTGCAAGAAGAGACTGCTCATGATTGGTATTAGTCATGACTCGAATCAAGCTGATAGAATTCAGAATACAATGGGCACCTAATGGACTTCTGAAAGAGTTTGATAGGCTGCATCTTGGAACAGCAAAGTGAGTTAGGGTATTTGAATTATTACATAACATGAATGTCCCTAACTACAGGAATAAACATTGGACCAAGTCTGGTATTTGCTGCAAATAAGTAACTTCGTTACTCATTTCCAGTATTTTGTTTTTGATACCAGCTGGGCATCCTCCCAAGAAAACTGAGATCTGCTTTCTTGGAGTGGACAGAATTCAGAGGAATGCTATGCAAACACTGATATCTATCCTCTTGATCTTTACCTATGCTTACAAAATTACATGTTAGGAAGAAATTACTTTGATGGAGAATTCAATGTAAAATGAAGAATTAACATTACTGCTTTGAAATGTTTGGTAACAGGGTAAAAAAAAGTGTTTTAAGCCAAAGGAAGCTTTCCTAACATAGACATGGCAGGCCCTCCGTGCCCAGGAGTGTACGTACTTCTGTCTGATTAAAGCAAACCCCAACATTCTATGCAGATAGCTGACTGCAAGTGAGCTTTCTAAATATGGGCTGAAAAAAAATACATTGCTCATACAGAAGGCTTTAGTCTTAAACAATAAAAACGCTAAAAATTCAACAGATACGTAACTAAAAGATAATTAGAAAGAAATCACCATTGTCAAATCGCAATAAAGAAATAATTTATTTTGGAATATAACTTGTACCAATACATTCAAACATCAAATATCACTTTTACTGACTTATTTTACAATGTACTTATTCCTTTAAAAGAGACTTTCCATGGGAGTTTTGTTCATTATCGTATTATTCTACAGAGAGAGTTTTGATCCTTTAAAAAAATAGAGATAATCCACTCAATCCCTGAAAACTCAGTGGGAGATGCAAAAGTCAGTCTTGCCCACACCTTGCAAGCAGTAGTTAAAAGGAACTAGTCACACAGGATGTCAGCTAACTTTGCTGATTAAAAAAGTAGTTCTCCTGTGCCAGGTCTACAGATGGTAGCAAGAGTATGGAGGAGGAAAAAAAAAACAACAAAAAACCACACTGTCATGATATCACTGAAGTGTTACGACTTTGAATTTCTAGAAGGTAAAAGTATGTATTCTCCAAAGCCAATAGGAGCTGTATTAGTAACTGCAAGGAGCTAGGATTTCACCATTTACAAGATCAGTTAAGTGAATAGTAATTACCAGAATAAGGCTTATAAAAGTATGGTCATTAACATGCAAAACACATTTGTGTGTAGAGAGACTGAAGCAGATTTCATATCTATGTTAAAAACATGTTTCCATTTTGTCAGCTCATGGTTTTAAGGACAACTCCTACAGTATGCTTAACTTCATCAATAAATGATGAAGTTAAGACTTCCAATAGCAAGGGAGTTAAACAGCAAGCAATTTAACAATAATACTGAATCACTTCAGGTAAACAATTTACCTAATATAGGCTAGTGGAAAAGACAGCCCCCTTTCAAATTTTAACTAAAAACAGGAGGGAAAACAAGACAGACTAAAGCAGCTAAATTCAATATACTCCCTCTAATATGCTACAAGGGAATATGGTTTTGTAAGAGCTCCAGAGCTCTATTTGTTCTCCAAAACAGAGAAGCTTTAGGATCAACTTATGTTTTGCAGCAAAAAGAGTGATGCTCAATTTCCTTCCTTAAAAGAAAAGGCATCCTTAAAGAACCTCCTGTCTTTGCTAGGCTGTGGTCACTGAGAATCTGTCTAAATCTGGAATTTCAAGAGGAATAGTCACAAAAAACTAGTTTTGGCATAGGCAGACAACTACTCTTAGGTACTCTCAGCAGAGGAATGAGCTCTTCTAGAAAGCAAATCAGAGCTGGAGCTCAGCTTTAGCTGCATCCTCACTCTCTGCATGCTAGCTTAAAAAGACAGTCTGAAAAATCTGACTTCCTAGATTAAATTTTTTCTTTGTTAATACCTTTCCCCCAACCTGCCAGGCAGGAAATGAATAGGTACATTCTGAACTAAGAGGGAGCTACTACAGACTTTCACAGCTGCAGTGGTTTTATGGGAAAACAGTCTATCTATTTTTCACTTACATCTTTTAAAAAAGTTCTGTAAATACAAAGCCAAAATCCGAAGTCAGAGAACTGAAAACTATTTCTGTACAGTTAGAATTGCTGCTTACACCAGACTAAAGACATATACAGCATAACGCAGAAAAGTCTTAAAAGGGGGAAAAACTGGGAAAACTGCTAACTTAAACCTCCTGTAGTTATGAATTTAGTAATCATCTGACGCTTTCAACTGTTGCTTTTCAAGAGAAATTTAGCAGTATGTTCTGTTTTTGCTTTTCACCTGTACCAAAGGGTGAGTCTTTCAGGTTTAAATACCCTTTTGAAAGAATCTGATGTTTAGAAATGCAGAGGGACTTTCTACTTTTTGGAATGCTAGTACAAATAAATGTGGTGCACCATATTGGAAAGAGTACTAAATACCGATACTGACCTTTAAAATCCAAAGAAATCAAGAGAAGATTTTGCATTGTATGCATGTAAGATAGCAGTAACAAGTACATCACACTTCAAAACTTTGTGGGCTTGGAAATTACAGCTATTTTTTATTTATATTGTTCTTTCCCTGAATGACATATTAACTTTTATTTCTTGTTCAGAGCAATCACCAAAAGTGCAGTTTTTTTGGATACTTTCCTACTTCCTGGACAATGCTGTTCTATAGTCTTCTGCTTCCTCCCTCTACCAAGATTTATGTGTATTTACACACATAAATCTATTTGTATAACATCTATTTTTAGCAGAATACACCCTATAGTTAAAATTAGTTCTGAAGAATTATTTTAGCAAGTATTTATCAGATACTCAGGCATACAGCAAAGATATGCTGATTACACATATATATATGTAGAACTATCTGTCTCAAGAAGATGGGAAATGACACTGAGACCATTCGAAACAATAAATCAAAGCTTCTCTATCTGAAAAAAGGGTCAAGTACCGTAAGCTAGTGCAAAGAAATTTTTAAACCTAACCTCCTTCCAAACCAAAAAAACCCACACACCTTGATGATTCTGAATATAGATACATTCATTTTAGAGAGGCCGTTAGGTTAGATATGTTTTGCAGTAATATTTTTCTTTATACAGCTTATTGAAAGTTCTTTCCTTTTTAGTGTGCTATAGTGGTTGTTCACCTTGCTAATTATTAGTTTAAAAAAGACTTATTGGCAGTGATTTACTTTAAAAAGATTAAAGTCAAAATGCTTTTTAAAAAGTTGCATTTTATAATGAAAACTCAGTATATTTTATAGAAACATCCAAAATTCTTTATTTCAAGCCGATCTAGAATTCTTACAGGCATCCACCACTTCCTCCTGACTTGCACATAATCAAAGACGGCACTCCCAACCATTAAAAAGTTAAATCGTTATTACAGTACAGTCACAAAGAAGCCAAACAGCTTTACTTTGATTAAGCAAAGCTAGAATTGCGCTCTAACAGCATTTATTTCCAGTGCATAGGTTGCTCTCTTCTCCTAAGAGCAGGCAAGAAGGGGCAATTTCCCTTAATTGAAGAAACATAGATGGTAGCTCTGTTATCAAAGCAGTCATTTCATCAGTGGAAAAGTGATAGATTTCTGGACCCACTAGACATTTTCCTCCATTGCTGTAAGCTACTTTAACCAGTTCACATGGCCTTGTTCAGAACCAGGTTAAGCATACTTGCAGGTCTCCATTACTGCTTTCATCTTTATAATCACTAATGAGGTACCACATTTGAAGAATCAAGGGGAATTTCTCTCTTTTTTTTTTTTTTTTAAAAAAAATCAGAAGGCCATCAGTATAGCTGTTCCCTGGTCTGAGACACTGCTTCATAACCACCAGTTAAAATCTCTTTCCTTTCTAGAAGCATCATTTCCCTTCCATCAAAGAACCAGCACTAGAGATGCTTTGTATCATTTAAATGTAAAAATGTAACACAATTATTGCATTTTACTGCATTTCAAACTTCTCTTCTAGTTATAGTGGTAAAGTTAACAATTAGCATATGGAATGAATTTTAGATACTTATATGTACCAAAGGCAAGTTACCAAGAACTCTACAAATATACTACAGACAAAATATAGCAGTAAGCACTGCTATCATTACACAGTACTGTTTCATGAAACATGATTGATTGGACGGTCATCTGGAAAACAAGCTGATGACTGAAATGTTATAAAAATAGCAAAACAAGTATTTGATCATAGTAAGCATATGAACAAGCGTTAGAAAGAGGGAGGTAAGCATGATTCAATTAACACAAATCCTGCTTACACAAGGGTGCCTCCAAGCCACAAAAAGTGTAGTTTTGCTTTTACATTCAGAATCAAGATTCCACTCTGATACATGCATGGCAACCATGTCTGAATAGACTCTGGAACGTAAGCAGATTCTTCCCTACATCATGCAGCCCCGTACAACTGGTATGAATGCCAGTCTTTACTTAAATGACATTTTGCAATAGCAAGCTGTACAGCAGTTCAGAGGGGAAGGAATTAGCAGAAATGCATATACCATGCTTTGATCAGAGGTAAATTTCAAAATATACAAGGTATATGTACAGTTTGTTTCTAGGCACATCTTTGGTTACATTCTCAATATAGTCTGCTTTAGAAAAAAATAAATAAAACAGTCAAGACTTGGTTAAAGTCAGGGCAGAGATAAAACCTCCTTGGTTTTCAGAAAGCAAGACAGTACAAGTCCAAAATGATGCTGTATCACATCACATCCATAAACGATAAAATCCCAGTGCTACAGTAAGGCATGTAAATATTGAACCTGAAAGAAAAAAACAGAAATTGGGTGGAAAATGGGGACAATAAATCATTAGCTATTGGAACATTTCTTCAGAAAGCTAGGTATATATCTTGCTACAACACTATGAGCATAACCACTACCCCTTGCCCATGTAAAAAAATAAGGTTTTTAATTCACAGAACAAAATTGGGGGGGGGGGGGAAGGGGCACACAAAAATGAAATGAAAAAGAGGACAAAGGAAAAAAGTACAGGAAAACTGGTCTGGAAAAGCTATCAGAAGACTAAGAAAAAAAAAAATCTCACAGTTGCTTACCATTCCAAACAAGATCAATATGGCAAGTTATAGTTGTAGTGAGGAAATGAATACAGGATTATTAAATCACAGTAAAATATTTAACAAATAAGTAAGTGTAAATTGTCTTTTACTGAAGCTTATCAGTTTGCAATTTTTAAATTTCTACTGAAACAAACTCAACTCTTTGTTTCTAGATATCCACACAAAATATTTTTTGCCATTGTCTTCAATAGGATCACTTCAAAACAATGTAAAACTTTTTTTAAATTTCCATGCAGACTTTAATATGTTTTTTGAGTTGGGGTGGTAGAGAATGGAACTTCCTCTTATTTTAATACACTACCTTTTATTTTCTAGTAATGGTTCTCTGTAAAGGATACCCCTGAACTAGAGTGCTGTGAATGGACATCACTGTACTTGTGAAAGAAACCACTGTGAAAGGATAATCAAAATTCTAAATCAGAAGAATAATGTTCTACTGCAGACCTGAACATGCAGTAGCACTGCATACTCAATAGTCAGAGCTACACAAAAAATGTCAAAGAATTAAAACCTATCTAGAGCAGTAATATAGATACTTAACATGCAGAGCATTTTCCAATGCACATGCCTGAAGGACTAAAGATTTTAAGAATGTGTGGTGCTGAACAGTCAGAAAAGCTAAAATGTTCCAGTTTGTTGATAGATCTCCATTAAGGAGATAAATATTGTGGAAATGCACCAAGCTGCTTTTATAAAAACTGTACATTTGAAACTCAGCTCAATGTCCTTAAACAGCTATCCTACGTTTAAGATAGGAATAGGAGAATTTTTCGACCCTTGCTGAGAGTCAGTAAGTCTTTTACAGTTCTCATACAGTTTACTATTACAATATAAAACAGGGAAAAGGCATACAGCCAAAGCCCATGCAAAATGACATTGTGAATTATAGGAACCTTACTCTGGGTTAAGTACATGGATAACGCTACTAATGTCAATTGAGATTGTTTTAAGTATTTTTTGAATCAGGATTTTTATAAATGCAGTCTATTGAGAATTAGACAAGCAAAAATTGTGCTTAACAGCTTCATCATCACAAGCTATTGTCAGATTACTTACCTGCTAAATACTTAATATTGTCAAGTTTGTGCGATTCTAGCATTGTCTTCAGACCTGCAACTTCTGTGTCTATTTTTCTGTCTGTCTGAGTTAGAGCTCGATCTTGCTGTGCATGCTAAAAAAAACAAAGCAAAAAATGACACAATTTGAACAGTTTTCAGTTTATTTAGAAATTAAACCTATCCCTTTAAACTGTATTTTTGGCTCCTCCTTAAACATATGTTAATGAAGTACTTAGTTTGCATTCAAAGCTAACTAGTTCCTTCCTGGCTGATTACATGCAAGAAACTGGATAATTTGGTGAACTCGGCAAATTTATATGATTACTCCCTCCCTAACACGTCATCCAGAAAGTGGCAGAACTGGATGCCTTCTAATCTCAATCTAGCAGCATAATCATTAACTTGAACATTGGTGGGCCAAATAACAGATGAGAGTCACTGCTCAACTATACCAGTTATTGCTGATTAGTGAGTCCAAGAGCCTCTTGTGACAGAAATATATTGGAACATGAAGATTTATGGAGCATTAGAAACACTGAGAATTGCTCTTCTGACTTAAGAAGCACGTCCTCATCTTGTAACAAATTCTACCACAAAAATAGTTACAGATAAACAAATACAGAATCTGATTATGACAGAAGACAGGACTTCTGAAAAAAACGGGATGGAATTATTACTCAGAAAAGACAGAGATCAAAGACGTAAACTGAGAACAACAGCTGCTGTGTTGCTTATGTTTTCAGATCAGCACTACTGAAACACTGAATCAGTTAATGATTTACTGCTAGTCACCTTCCTACAAGTAATTCCTATGCTAAGAAATGAAACGGGAGGAAGAAGAATTTGGCAAAAATTCCTGTAAAAAGAAGCTAAATCAGTCTAGCAATTTGTTTTAGTCTCATAGAACATGGAAAAAAAAAAATCAGTAACTTCAAGAACTAATGTAAAAGTAGAACTCAATCGGGAGAAAATATTATATGCACAAAATTCCAAAACCAAATGACCCCTGAACAGTTTATGCATACATGCAGGGATCTAAAAGTATATAAAAACCTCTTTTTATTTTGTATTACACTTTGGTTACCGATATGGAAATGCACATGGAAATAATAGACTACATTTAATACATTTAAGTGCCTAAAGATATGAGCAATTTTTAAAAAAGTAGCAGACCTATAATGCAAGTACAAAAAGGCTTGTTACATGACTTAATAATCAGCTCCCAAGTTCTTACCAATTCCACTATTTCGGTCCTCATTTCGAGTAGTTTTCTTTCATTAAGTGAATACTGGTGGGGGGGGAAAAGATAAAAATAAAAACATGATACTGTCTTTTAACTTTTTCCATATACTTTAAAGTGTAATTCTTTGGTTCCAAATTCTGTAGAACGCTGAATCTGGCCAACAAGAGTGGTTTCCTGACAACGCTTAGAGACAGTTCTGTAGACTGACTGGTATCCTTTGGGAAAAGGAGAATTTACAGACAGGTGTTTAACCACACGTCTGAGCTTTAAAGTGGAACAAATCCATCAGAGACATCTACTACAATTGCATGCATTTATATGCAGCTGGAGGAAAAGCTGGCAGATCGGCATTTCTGAAAAACAAAGAGCTATAATTCTAAACAGTAACTGTGAAACAGTTAACTAATCTATCGAGCACACAAACACAATTTAAAGAAGCCAAGATCACACTATCCCATCTTCAGCAAGGAGAGTATGGTTTTAAAATACCGTATCAAATTTAGCTACCAAAAATCGTTTAGCCAGCCTATCTGTTCACCATTTGAAATGACGGTCAGAACAATACATGGCAACATCATTAGAAAGTATCAATCAAATACAGTAAGTTTGCATCTCATGTTAAGCCATTCATTTGCAGAGGAACAGAAGCTGTGGCTTATTTGTAAGTTATGGTTATTTGGGGTCAAGGCAAGTAAAATCTAAATGAAAGAGGAGGCATACCTTTAAGGCAGGTTACGTTTCTGACTCATGAGCAGGCATGATTTACCTTGACATCTGTAATGGCTCCTATCCCACTACTGGAGCAATTCAATTACCCATAAGACAGCTGCTAAACCGCCAGTCTACAGCGCAGAGTATTAAGGTCATCGGGCACCCATCTCAGAATCCTCAGTTAAACAGCAATAACCTTATCTGTTGACAATCCCGCTTGGAAAGTCACTTTATTTTTCTCCAGTCTGGAAGCTTATTCCACTTTAATATTAAACTCAGATCAATCAACATAAATGCCTCAGCATTGAAAAACCGTCCTTAAAGATCTAAAGCTCTATTTGGACTTCCGACTGATCTAAAGATCAAGTTAACAGGTAGCAGAAGGCTACAAACGTGGAAAATCTTGTATCGTAAAGACAAGTAACAGCATATCCACAATTAACGAAACACCAGTACCTAAATTCTCCAAACCGAAGGAAGGGACAAAGAAGAAATTTAGCCTTTTCACAAAAACATACATTTTGAAGGTGATAAGATGGTAGAATATTTATAATTTTTAAATTAGATTCTCTTACGTTTGAGATGAAGTTTTACATCAGAACGGGACCTCGCTTAACATATTAATAAACTGATCAACACTACCAGAATAAGCAACCCATTTAAAACAATGTCATGAAGTAGTTTACCTGTTACTTTAAATAGATGCTGTTAGCCAAATATAAAGTTTCTGAATAATTTCCATTCCACAAGTTTCAATTTGATGTTTAGATTTGCTGAACTTCTGCTTTGTGTCTAGAATTCACTAGGTCTGACCCAAGAATTTTAACCTTAGCTTTAAGACAGTGAAAAACACTCTTCTGCTGCAAGGTATCAACACACATATGTAATAACACTAACATGCAAAAAAAAGGTGGAAAGGCAAGGTTGAAAAAAAGCCTTATGCTCAACAGGAAGATCTCCCCTATAGTCCAGATGTTTTTCACAGTGCAGAAGAAATTCGATATTGTCAGATACATCTTGATATTTTTAATAGCAAACTTAGAGGCACTGCAATGCATGAAGACATGAATATATATATATAGAATTTTGTACTGTACTTAGTTTTTAAATCACATCAGTATCACTGCAGATCATCACTGCATGCACAGATGCATATTAAGTAACGAAGGATTCTCCAGCAAACGTATAGAAGCATGAACTAATTAAAAGATAAAACATTTACAGCTTAAAACATTTAAAATCGCCCACTTTAGTCTTGAACAATTAAGAAATTCTCCTTTGGTACTTATTCCAAACAGGACTGAAGTATAAGAACGTTTCACTTAGTGCTTCAAGTTAAGTTAATTTATACTCAGGTCATTTCTCTTCTGAATAGCATTTTAGTAAGAGATGCATAGCGAGTCTTCAGTTATCCTGAGTTTTATTCTCAGACAGCCACAAATTCAGTCTAAGTCTCATTTATGTCCAAATAAATATGGTAGCAATGCTCTGTCCACTACATAAAATATTGGGTTAGGTCTCTTCCTCCAACTCAACACACACTATAACCTGCTCCCCATTCATCTTCACTTTTCCTGTTCATGCATGGCAAAGCTGGCAACTGAAGCAGGAAAAAAGGAGGGAAAAAAAGAAAAACAAGGACAGTTTTGACAGAAACTATAATTGTATGACACGCCACAAAGTAGGTCAACTTTCTTCAGAGAGAAAACTGACATGCACAAAGTTTGCTTTCCCTGGGAAGCAGTCAATATAATGTAGTGCTCTGAGCAATGGCCTGAGTCCAGATTCCTGGATTCTACACACATATACCCCCCCCCCAAAAAAAAAAAAAGATAAAAGCGTCCCCAAATTTATCACCTGTAAAATGGGTTTAAACAGGGTTTGCAAAGCTTGATCTAAACAGTTAATACATTTAATGTGAAGGGTTTTTCTGCTTGTTTTTTAATCTTTGCACAAAATATTAACCTTTAAAAATGAATTTTACCTACTCAAAATATACTTATTCAAGCATCTCCCATAGGTAAGAGAGTGTTAGTCATTATACTAAACCACCGACACAGCTGTTTCCTAAACTAATCATTGTGAATAACTTCAAGGGGCACACACAAAAGATTCATGAATTGTACTTGAATATAGTTCTCATTGCCTAGATTAGACATAAATATTGTTTCTTCATTATGCACCTGTGAAAAGTGATTGAACAGGAAATAAAATTCATAAAAAATATCATTAAAAGGCTCTTCAATTCAGATAATGCAATTTTCTTTGAGAACCTAGAAACTATTCAAGAAAGATCTATGGGAATAGTGTGCCACATATAATGCAAAAAATCTGTTTATCTTCTAATTCCTCTTCCACATTGTTCTAATTTAAGATCCCATCAAATCAGTTCTACCAGATATTTCAAAGTTAAAAACAATCTGAATCATCACCAGTTACAAAATCAGTTACAATTATTTTCGCAATAGGATTACCTCACAAACTAGCTATGCTGTAATTCTCTTGCTATGGGGAAATGAAATATATTCAATAATAGCAGTTCAATGAAGTGTTTCAACTTAATTCAGTGCGAAAAACAAAGATATACTAATAATATAAAAAACCTCAGGCAACTAATCAGCATTTTTAAACATAAAGATTTAATATATTAAACTGTACCTTGTAAATCCCAATATTAAAACAGTATCAAAATATGCAGACAGACTAAGAACAAATACGCCACCGTATACTAGAGCAGCATACGGATAAGTAATTTGGACTGACACCAACTTGAAGATGAATGATACCACAGATCAATAAGTAAATGATGCTCTTACCCAAATTTGAAGATTACCTAATGTTTAGATGTTTCTAGAAGAACGTCACCAAAACTTACCAGTTCTTTTACTCTACTCTTCTCTAGGTTGAGGTTTAACTTGTTATCTGCACAAACTTTGGTAATTTCATCCTAGTGGAAAAAATTGATAAAGCAGCAAGCAAAAATTTCTCTCTAGTCAACCATACGCAAACACACGAGACAAATAATTGTGCCCTTCATAACATATCTCGAGAATCAAGCTTCTCTCTAATTAAGGTGCGTCTTTTTCCAAAGCGTGAAGTATTCCTATTCTTCCCCCGGGGCAACATTCACGTTCTACAGGACGAATTGGATCTCAGAATCAAAAACTAGCAATCGCTTTTAAAGCCAGAACACTGAGAACTGAAGTTAAATCAGCATCTATGGAAGGATGTGCTGTTATGAATACTTTACATATCCCATGACTCACTCAGATTTCTGGAAATCTGTGCCTACCTACACGTTTAAGTTGTACTTTATGAAGCAATCTTGATGCTCAGAACAATGTCAAAAAGCATTTCTAAACTTTCCAATTTAAAAAAAATATCTGTTTATAAAGAAAACATTTAGGGCTTTTAGAAAAAGCTAGAGACATCACAGACCTCAGAAAATTTTTATTATATTTTTAAAAATTCAATATATATTTTTAAGCTACCATAAAGCCTTTTATTCATGTTTTAGTTTATCAACAGCTGTAAGTGATTCTTGCTTTTCTCAGTGACAGCTGCCATTTTAATGCAACCTCCCGGCAGGAATTCCAGGCAGCTGACAGTTTGTCATAAGGCAAACTGCTCATCAGATGAACGTGTGGGAGAAGCAAAAGACTGATAATGTTCCAGGAAATTCTACTATTAAAAACAAGCGAGCATCTCTCAAGTAGGACAATGTTAGCTAGTTCACTAAGTCAGTATGAAAAATAATTACATTCAAATAATTTCTATTTTAGCATTTTTGAACTTTCTTAGCATTTTTATAATTAGATGTCATTACAACAGATATGTTACAATTTAGTGAAATCAAAAAAAATTATTTCAAATTTTGTGAACAAACTTACACAACATTGTGCCATTCTGTGTTTTAGAAGAAAGACCAAGTATGAGTAAATGCAATTATCACAAGGACAATATATTCGTTTTATATTTAAGGTTAAAAGTAAAATTTTAAGACATCTAGCTTTTACACAAAGATGACTCAAATCTCTGGATGTTCTACAACTAGATTCCTCTAGCTCCAATTAAATGCAACTAAAACAATAAAATAAGTTATAATTTAAAAATCAGATTCCTAACTTTTTAAAACTGGATTCGGAAAGCACAAATGCATTAAGCACTTCATAACACAGCACAAAACACAATCAGCCCTGAGAAATCTACATTCTCCTTTTGGAGACGACAGCACAGTGTCATCTTTATTATTCAGGATAATAAAGACATGACAAGGAGGAAGCTAGGCTGAACTTGATCAGATTGTCAAAATACTGATTTGTCCTGCTAACGGACAGTTTCATGGAAAATCCTAAGGCAGGAAAGGTGTTCCATCCTTTTAAGCGAGAGTGACGTGGTAAACAGCTCTTCTCAAGTTAAGAGGACTATATTTCCTAGAGAGCGGTAATGATATTTCCCAGTTTCCAATCTTAAATCAACTGCTTTTGCAATAATTTTTCTTTCTGTGTAAAGGCTGCTTATGACTATACACCATTGAAGGAGTAGGTTTTGAGACAATGTTGTTTCTGATGGCAGAAAGGTCTGTTTGAACTATTATTCCAGAGAAGCAAACCATAAAGACCAGAAACACAACATCAGTTATTAAGCCTAATAACAACCTGTAGACAATTAACACACTAAGTTTTTGCCAAAGACTCTGTTTTCTTCCTCAAGTCATTTGCTTCCAAACAAATGGGACCAAAACTCTTAAAGAAGTCATTTAAAAGCTCTTGTAAATTCTGGACCGCTAAGTCTTCAGAAAAAAAATATAATGACCAATTAGTAAGTGCCGTAATTTTGAAAATACCTTGCATTTTTATATTAATAAGCAGCCCTAAATGCAGAACTTCACTCAGCCTTAACTATGACATGGCAACTGACCACTTTCTGAATCTGAATTAATGACATGCAAGACAGATAAACGTCTTCAGTTAAAATTTCTTTACCATTCGTACTGCTTACAGTACTCTCGCACCATAAGTTAAGTATGCATCAAATTGTCTTTGCTACAGCCACTAGTGTATCACCACTTGCAATTCCAGCATCCTATACATGACAATAATCAGGCACAACTCTTAAAAAATTGTTACTCTAAGATTTTACTTTAAGTAAACTAGACAGAGGTTAATTCTTAACCATGTTGGCACAGTATCTTACCATGACTTGCTTCTTTATCTGCAGGAGTTCAAGTTTTATTTTCTGGTAGGATGAAAAAACATACACTTCAATATTCTATATAAAAATACATTGTCTAGAAATACTGCTACTAAGTCTTCCCTTAGTAATAAGTGGGTTATCTACTTGTTTTCATCTGACTGTGCATGAACTAACAACCTATCCTCTATAAAGATCCCTTTAACCTATCTTCTTTTGTATATATTCATTTAACTACGTGTAGGAATTTATGAAATAGTCATTGAAAAAGGTAACCTTTTAGTACTTTTCTTTTTCTTTAATCTCCAAGCATACAGAATCCATAGCCTTCCTGGGCAACCTGTTCCAGTATCTGACCACCCTTACAGTAAAAAAGTTTCTTATGTTTAAATGGAATTTCCTTTCACTGGGCACCACTGAGAAGAATCTGGCTCCATCTTCTTTATCCACCCCCCACCCTCCGTCAGGTTTCTGTATGTATAGGTAAGATCCCCTTGAACCTTCTCTTCTGCAGCCTGAACGGTCCCAGCTCTCTCAGCCTCTCCTCCTACGAGAGAGACCCCAAGCACTTGATCATCTCTGTGGCCTTTCACTGGACCCACTCCAGTAGGTCCCTGTCTCTCCCATACGGGGGAGCCCAGCACTGGACCCAACACTCCTGATGCGTCTCGCCAGGGCTGAGCAGAGGGGAAGGATCACCTCCCTCCACCTGCTGGCAATGCTCTGCCTAATGCAGCCCAGGAGGCTGTGGGCAGCTTTTGCTGTGAGGGATCATTGCTGCCTCCTACTCAACGTGGTGTCCACCGGGACCCCCAGGGCCTTCTCTGCCAAGCTGTTCTCCAGACAGTGGGCCTCAGCCTGTCCTGGTGCAGGGGGTTATTCCTCCCCAAGGGCAGGGCTTGGCATTTGCCTGGGTTGAACTTCATGAGGTTCCTCTCTGCCCCTTTCTCCAGCCTGCCAAGGTTCCTGTGAATGGTAGCACAGCCCTCTGGTGTGTCAGCCTCCTGCCAGTTTTGTATCATTTCCAAACTTGCTGAAGGGGCACTCTATCCCATTGTCCCTGTTATTAATGAAGAGGTTAAACACTACTGGACCTAGTAGCCATGCCTAGGGTACAAGGCTGTGGTTGTTTTTTTTTTTTTTTAACACCTTAGAAAAAAATAAAACAAGTGCTAGAATAGCACTTTCTACAATATTGATTTTTACCTCATTTTCTGAGCGTAGTGCTGAAAATTCACTTTTTTCCAGAATAATCATATCCTTTTTTACACCACCAATATGGGACATTATTTGTTGAAGAGCAATCTCCTTTAAAAGAGGGACAAAAAACCACTCAGGTCATATTGTAACTACAATGCTTTTTCTCATTTGTGCATACAAATATGAGAGCCTATTTTGGTACCCTAAAAATTGTTGAATTAAAAATGTCAGAATGATTGTCTTAGTTTCAGAGGACAAGATAAATTAAGATAAAGTGACAAAATAAGCAAGTTAGGCTCGAAAGTTAGTAATGCTTGACAAAATTAGCAGTACTAACACAGACCAGAATGGCTAAATTGATAGCAATTAATCAATTAATAGGAAACAATTCGTTCCAGGTATTCAAATTCTTAAGCTAGCAAAGGCATTAGGGACAGATGAGATGTCCCTGTGCTAAATGAGGAAAAGTGGCTACTTTTGTTCAGAAAAGCTGAGCAGAGAAAGAAGCAGAGATGCAATGACCTGCTTGTTGTAAAATACAAACAACCACGGGAGAAATGATCCCTTTTAAAATTATATTCTTTGATGGACTGTGCAACAAATTTGACACAGAAGGAAGCACTCCTACTTCTGCTTTGCCTGAAGTCTAAGATCTAGGAAGCACAGGCTGAAGCTTTCTTAGATATAAGGGGATACAAAAATTCCACTTCCTAATGAGATGCCCTACTGCCAAGACTATTACACAACGAAGGCAGAAGCTGCTGTTTTCTCATGTTTTAAGAGTGGCCTCGTTACCAAGAAATGAGTGAAATGCCTGTGTTCAGAAGGTAACCTGGGACTGTGAATCCCAGACTCACAGAGCAGCCCTAGAGGAAGCAGCCCTTCAGCTATGCTTCTTGTCAGCACTGTTTATTTGACTAGCTTAAGTATCAAGAAATTCAAGCATACTAGACATCGTGAAACCCATCTGAAGATGCTCAAGTTCCACACGAGGTGAATTGTGTCTTACTCTGAAGTTCGGCTTCATTTCAGGAGCCAGCTGCCTAAAAGCTCAACATGGCAACATTCAACATTGCACGTTCAATTCCTCATTTGGATCTAGCTTTTTATAATCTGACAGAGGTCCACCAAAAATCAGAGTCAATATTAGAACAAGAGGCCTTGCTTCCAGACACTGATTTTCATTAAAACAATCATTCCTTCACAAATCAAAGCTAACAATTCAGTTCAGTTCTATGCAGTTTCCTGGTAGCCAGGAGGGATCTCTGTTTATGCCCAGCATTATCAGTCTTTTTCCAACCAACTTTTATTCACTTCCTCCCACCAAGATGTACGTACTGGATAGGTGTAGAGGGTACCAGGAACAACATAAGCATCAAAGGAAAAAGACAGATTTCAATCTTGGCATCCAAAATATACATGTTCCTGTAAGTTACCAATGTATACAACTTCAAGCATGTCTTAGAAGCATCTTTTAAGAAAAAGCGCTCATACCAATTCTAATACAATATGAATGTCACGATGACAAAAAGAAATAAATAAAAAAGGGCCAAATAACAGACTGGTAAATCTTCACTTCCTTATCACCACTCTACAGAAGAGCATATACAGGCGCTGTACCTATTCATGTCCATGCATCGAGTACTATCTCATACTTCTGTCAAAGTCTTGTTACCAATTCTATTTTAAATTACAACAAAACTGAAAATAAAAAAACTACCTGTGGTTTGTGTACCAACTCACAATAGCTATATTTCAAGGTCCACCACAACACTTCCTTATGTATATGATAAACTCAAGACAAAACTCATTAGCGAGGAGATATACAGGGATGCTTGTTCTTCATCTTCAAATTTTTGAAATATAGTGTCTGATGGTAATAAATAAAATAGCAAGGTATGTTTCATTAGCAGGCTTTCATGCTAGGTTTTGATTTGTTTTAAATCCACCACCTTCTTAAGCTAACCTGTTGTACTTTGGTGACCATGTCCTTGTAAATCATCTCCAGGTTGGTGTTCATAATTTTCACTAAGGCAGATACAATGACCTCTGACTGCCGGGTAGTGAACCCTAGGCAAAACAAAACGCAGTAATAGTCAGAAAAACCTAAGTCTGGACAGTTTACAGAGATACCTCTTGCTAATACTCATCACTAGATTAAAAAAAATCATTTATGAAAAACAATAAACCATACTCCTCTCTATGCAGCACTAAAAAAAAAAAAATACCACACAACCCGTCGGTGCATCCAAGTACCTCCACTCAAAATTTTTCCTGTGACATAGCATAGCTGCTTCTACATATAGCAGTATCACAATGCTAGCAAGACAACGTGCTGGAAATTATTTTTCTAAAAGTATTATGGAATGTTGTCTTTCATGTGCAGTTATTTCTATGGCAGTAATTCTGACCTTTCAGAGTAGAAACCTACTTTCAGTATACTATAAATAGTACCACAGAAAATATGCAAACCCCAACAATTCAAAACAGAGCTAACTGCTCTGGTTTTAGGCCTAGAAGCCTCTGAGTCCCTACAAAACCTTGTAAGTCCTCTCAGACTCAATACATTATGAACTAATCTAATAATGTTATCATGTAAACAATCACAGCATTCAAGTAGCCAAGGGTAAAACACAGCCCCCAGAAATATTATCACCTTTGTTTTTTTTCAAAATGCAGGAAAAATATTTTTAAGAAGTCATAAACAAGATTTAATCATTATGAAGACTGTTGCAAAAGCATGATTGCTTCAAATTAACTAACAGTTAAGTGTTAGAACATATAGATAGGGTCTGCAACTGAATCACTTTCAACAACTGAGCTGATCTAATAGCTTGCCACCACTAACAGGAAGAGATACTGCTCCTCCCTCTCTTCTCACCACTCCTCCTGCTGTTTTGTATGGGCTCTGGAGCTCAGCGAACCGCTCAGTGAACTCATCAAAATACCTTCTCAGAATACTAGTCAAGTAGAAAGATTTGAATGGTTTCCTGAGAACTAAATTGGCACAAGGAAAGAGATGAAACCACATGGCTAGCGAAAGGGATTGGGACCTCTCCTCTTCAAGGATGGCAAGCTGTTAGAAATCAACTCAGCTGTATATACCTTCACTCTGAGTCTGACTTCAGTAACATTAGCATGAATCCAAAATAATCTGTTCTCTTATTTACACTTTGGCATAAGAAGAGCAGTATTTTATAGAGTATTCTACATTCTATCCCAAGAGCTGTATTTTTATATAATACAATAATGTATATTCAATCAAGGATCAATATTCAAGACAGTATAATATCTTATCACGTTTTCAAGGTGCTATCTACTAAATATGTAATCTACATTTTAAAGTGTTACCTTGAAATCTTTATTAACGCTCAAATTTTAGAATTGAATTTTTCTTTAGTATTTTTAATTAGCAATAGAATAATAAATAATTCCGCTCAAAGTTATATAAGCTCAAAGTATCCCATTCAAAAAAGAAAAAAATCTGCATGTTCTCACCTCATATTTATAGAAAACATTTCATAAAACTGAAGTTATAATATTAGGTGTCAAAGAAAAGTAATTAAGCAAACTTCATAAACTGAAATATAACTAATGAAACGACATCAGAAACAGTTACACATCTCTAGCAAATTACCATTTTCTTCCAAAAGGCACACCAGTGCATGAGTGTCAAAAAAAAGCTTCCTGTTTCCTAATAAGGAAAAATTCCCCTTGCTTTGTAGAGATGATGGTACAGAGATGCTTACACCTGTAAAGATAAACAAAATGTAAATCTGGTTTTAAGAAAGAAAACTAAACCAATGCAACTGTTTCCCAGGAGTTTCCTTACTACCCCAAATAACTAAGAAATTAATTTATTTCATTTCTCACTAAATATCATAACGTGCATTCGGATTATCACAACAGCTTTCTTGAAACTGTAAAGGTTTCTGATTGCCAAGTGCTATGACAAGAGCTTGAAAATATAATGAAATGCTACTGCTGCAGTTCTAAAATACTTTCCAGGAATATCATGTCCTGGAAGAGTGTCACCACATGTCAGGGTCTTAAAATTGTTCCTTTAATGTATTAGCATAATCAGTGGTGGGCACTTCATAGGTCTGAGGACTTAATCCACAACCTCTTTCCATTCTTTAGTAAAGAAGTGAGTCTTCGTTCATTGCTCCTTAGACAGAAAGCAGCCATCTGCAATTCAGTGTTCATTATTTTACAGAAAATATACGGAATATTGCTTGCAAAACTAAGACGGTGCAGTTCCAACTTAGACATCTTGGGAAGCTGTTTTTGGTTTGGATGCACCTGGAAAGATAAATTGTTTTTAAAAGAACTACTAGCACGTTCTTCAAATATCAGTATTACACAAACGGTGCGTTCAGGGAAACTTAATACCAGCGCACAACCTAGTCGGCAGAAAAAATGCAAGAAAGAACAAGACATAAGTTATCAGGAGGCAGAAGTTTGTGTCCTCAAACATCTTATTGTCTAAAGCTCTTAACCACAAAACACAGCTGTGTTCTAGCTGCCCTCCCTAAAGCTCACTACAGCGTAACTGATTTTGGGTTTGGGGTTTTTTTCTTGGTGGGGCGGGGAGGGGAACTCTCCTAAAAAACGACCCCCGCCGCCAG